CCAGCCAATGCAAAGGTCCTGGGGTGCAACTGTGTGCTTGGCAGGTCCTAAGAAGGCCCGGGGACCAGCGTGCCGTGGGGGCCTGGGCAAGGGAGGGGAGGGAGGAGGCGGGCGCAGAGTGGACCGCGGCACCTCACTCCCAGCCTCGTGGCCACAGCGAAGCCCTGGCTTCACTGGGCGTGCGGTCCGGGTAGGAAACGCTTCGTTTTTCCTAAGAGAGGAGTTCGAGTCTCTTCCTTTCACTTCGGACTACAGACTTAACGGGAGGAATCTCCCAGCCAGAAGGAAGGAAAAAAACCCAGATGACGAGGAAAACCAGCTAAACAACTTGTGTTCTGCTCACATGTGTGTGCGTGTGTGTGTGCATGTGTGGTGGGTGTGCGTGTGTGTGTGTGTGTGTGATAAAGAATCCGCATCAAACTGTTGACCACGGCGACCTCCGCTGTGTGGGTTGATACAGAAAAGTTTCCTTTTTCATCTTTGAAAAAAAAAACATACCTTGGTTGCGGGCACATCCCCAGTAGGGGGTTTGCAGGAGGCAGCTGATTGATGTTTCTCTCTCATCGATGTTTCTAACTCTCTATTCCTCTCCCTTCCTCTCTGTAAAAAATCAATAAAATATAAAAAGAAAATAAACCGTTTTACCATCATGTCTGTTGAAACACACGCCTTAGATCGCCAACTTACCATGAAACCCAGCCCCCAGGACTTTGGCGATCTAAAAACCGGGGAACGAGCCCCAAACCCGGTACTGCCTCAGCCCCAGAGTCCTGTCCCCAGCCTCCTCCCTCGGACCCGGAGCCCAGGACCCCAGCCCGACCCCCGCCCCGAACCAGAGTGCAGGCTAAGCCTCTAACTCCGCGCCCCGTGAGCGCCCTCCCAGAACTCTGCCCTGTCAACCCCAGCTCTGGCCCCGCCTCCCACTCTGCCGCTGGGATTACGTCGGGGGTCGGCCCCGCCCCTTCCGCCAGGGCTGTGGCGCGGTTATTGCCAGTTTTACCTTTTCAGCCCCGCCCCCACTCGGGGTCCTTCCCCTTTCTGATCCTTCTTTGGGGCCGTCCACCGAAGTGCCTGACGCTCCTAACAGGACAACAGGCGGCGATGTTTCCTCGTTTTGTGTTCTCCGCCTACGGGGGCAACGTATTATGTCCCGACGTTCAGGAGGATTCTAACGGGGACGGACACTGTCCTTCCTCAAGAACCGAAGCGGGGTTTCTGGCACCGGCGCCGCCACTAGACGCCTCGGGGCGGAGCCCAGACTGGCCGTGGGAGGGGGGGGTCCTCGCGAGCGGCGCGCTCCCTAAAGTGGGACGCGAGCGCGAGGCCCGCGGCTTTTGTTGAGGAGAAAGTCGGAATCGGGTGAGTGTTTCCTTCGTCTTCGGTTTCTTTCCGCCTGCGCGGCGGGGCTTGGGATCTAGGCCGCGCGTGTAATGAGGTGGCCGGGGCTGTGGCGGGATGGCCACGCTGTGGCGTGGTCGGGACCACGGCCTTCGCCCCGCATCTTGGGGCGTCTGGAGCGGGTGGGGGGCGCGCGCAGTGGGGAGGACTCGCCACCGGAGCGGCCGGCGCCATCTCGGCGGCGCGCGGCCCTGGCGCCCGCCATTTTGTCCGTCTTCCTGGGGGGCGGGGGGCGTGAGGCGGGGAGTTCTCCTGAGATTTACCGCCCGCGCTTCCCTTCGGACCTCGCTTCTGTGTTTCCCACCCCAGGCGGCTGCGCATGTTTTGCCGCCTCGAACAGAGACTGAGGGGAGTTAGGACTCCGGAGGCCACGAAGGGGAACGTGGGAGTGGGGTCTCCACGCGAATGGCTGGTGTTCTGAGAAGCGGATAGGAATGGCCTCAGGAGAAAGCAAACGAGGCCTCTGTCCGCCTTCAGGAATCCTCTTGACCCCGTCACTCCGCACAGTCGGTTAAACGTTAGTTCTGGGCTAGTCAGGCCTTAATGCAGTGGTTCTCAACCTTGGCTGCACGTTAGAGTCACCTGGGAATCTATTTAAAATCCTGATTTCTGTTCTTCATCCTCCGGTAATTCTGTTTCTTTGTTACTAATGTTGTGGCCCCACCCCATCACAAAGAAACAGAATTTCCGGAGGATGAGGCCCAGAAATCAGGGTTTTAAAAAGATTTCCAGGTGATTGTAATGTACAGCCAAGGTTGAGAACCACTGCCTTAAGGCCTTGGACTTGGGCTTCCTGGCTGCTGGGCAATGGCACGCCCCAGGCTACCGGCCATGAAGCTCATTTCCCGTCTCCCCCACCAAACCACTATGTCCCAAGTGGGAAGATTTTTCTCATTCGTTCATCATGGGCATTGCAGTCTTTTCGCCACTGACCCATAGGTTTCTTTTCTCTTTTTCTTTTTAAATATATTTTATTGATTTTTTACAGAAAGGATGAGAGAGAAACAACCATCAGCTGCCTCCTGCACGCCCCCCACTGGGGATGTGCCCACAACCAAGGTACATGCCCTTGACCGGAATCGAACCTGGGACCCTTGAGTCCGAAGGCTGGTTTGGCTCTATCCACTGAGCCAAACCAGTTCTGGAGTTTCTTTTTTTTTTTCGTGCCCCTTTTTTCTTTTTCCTCAGAGGAAGGGAGAGGGAGAGATCGAAATATCAATGCCTCCTGAGCGCCCCCTACTGGGGATCGAGCCCGCAACCCAGGCATGTGCCCTTGACCAGGGAATTGAACAGTGATCTCCTGGTTCATTAGTCCATCCTCAACTACTGAGCACACTTTTTTTTGTATATTTATTTATTTATTTATTTACAGAAAGGAAGGGAGAGGGATAGAGAGTTAGAAACATTGATGAGAGAGAAACATCGACCAGCTGCCTCCTGCACACCCCACTGGGGATGTGCCTGCAACCAAGGTACATGCCCTTGACCAGAATCGAACCTGGGACCCTTCAGTCTGCAGGCAGCAGCTCTATCCACTGAGTAAAACCGGTTAGGGCTGAGCAACAACACTTTTTACTTTTTATTAGTGAAATATTCAAACATACAGGAAATACACATAATCTTGATATCGGAAACAAGTCACATGTTTGTGTTATTTGCACTTGAAGTGTTTTTATTTCTTTTTTTTTTCTGCACTTAGTGTTTTGGAAGTAAATTCATTTCATCCAAAGTAGTTGCCACTTACATTCCTGAAATAATATTTTTTACTTAATGACAATGCCCTTGTCACCCCTAATGTTTCCCAGTCTCTTAAGTGCTGTTGGCGTGGTCTCAATCCCTGAAGGTGAGTGGCCTTGGGCCTGGTTGCCAAGGGACTGGGACCCCCATGATGTTCAGCACTGGGCTCCGATCACCCCTGAGGACACAGTGCCTCCTGGGACCTTTGGCACATGGGAGTCCAAGGGGGTCCCCCCCCCGCCCCCCCGGACTATTTCTTTGCACACCCTCACTAAGTCCTTCCTGTGTTACAGGTGTCTCTTCAAGCTGAGGGGCCACTCACCACCACCCCATCTTGGTAAGAATCCTTGCTCCCATTCCCTGACCCACCCAGGTCTAAAACACCTGCATTTTGGGTGACTTCACATCAGATATCCCTGGGACCTAATTTATATGTGAACAGTCATGCTCAGTATTTACATACAAATCCCAGCTCTGCTATTGGTGGGTTTGAGGTGTCAGTTAAGTAATTGTACTGCTGAGCCTCAGTCTCGGTTTCTGTGTCTAGCATCTGACAACATATCAAGAGCAGAGAGGTTGTCGTCTCATAGTTGCGGGGGAGGGCAGTGGAGGCAGGGCATGATATATCCTGCCTTTGAAAGGAAGGATTGAATATAGTGAAACGCACAGGCTGTGAAAGCAAGAAATATACATATATTTTTGGGTTTGGGGGGACTAATCAAAAGTCCAATTTTCAGACTTAGCAGAAGAAAAGAAACAGTGGCTAGCAGTTAATACTGTCACTGGTTTCTAGGCTGCATATAGTATATCAGCCAAGTTGAGACAGCTTTCCATGAATTGTGTGCATATAAACTTATAGTTAATAAAGTTGCCCTCACACGGCTGTTAAAATGACAGTGCACCATGGCAGATATTTCACAAGTGTTTCAAAGATCTAAGTCGTAAAATGGGCTTGGATACAGGTTACCCAAAGAGGAGCAAGTGTTCTAGGGCTCTAGGAGGGCTTTCCCTCTGTTCCCTTTTCTTGGATCTTCCAACACTTGGCTGGCAGGGCCCTTTAGGGAGAAGAAGCTGCTTTTTGTGGTCAACTCCAGTTTGGGATCATCTGATTGTCACGTTTATATTTTTTAATTGATTTCAGAGGAAGGAGGGGGGAGAGAGAGAGGAACATCAATATGAGAGAAAATCATGGATCGGCTGCCTCCTGCACGCCCCCCCCCCCCCAACTGGGGTTCAAGCCCCCAACCGAAGCATGTGTCTATGATCAGGAATCCAACTGACCTCCTGGTTCATAGGTCCGACACTCAACCACTGAGCCACACTGGCCAGGCCCTAATTGTCTTTTGAGGGGCTGATGCTCTTCACCCCAAGTGCCCTCTGAGAGGGAATTTCTGGGAAAGCGTGGAGTGAGGGAGGTGCCACCGGGACATGGGTATGGGGGGCAGGGGAGATAGTGTCTCTTTTTTTAAATTGTTGAAAGTATTACATACAGGTGTGCTGGTTAATCAGATTTTTTTCAATAGATGGAGTTACACATGGGTTGATATATATGCGATTTGACACGTATGCTATTTTGCATTGACGGCAAGCTTCCAAACTTCATATGTCAAATTTTCTGAAGGTATTAACATGATAGATTGTTTACACTTAAAAATGTCGAATTTCGTGCCGAAAAAAGCATTTGCGAGAAGTTTTAATTCATTACTTTATATTGAAGAAAAGTGCTGCTGAAAGTTGTATACTTTGGGAAGCTTATGGTGAACATGCTCCATCTCAAGATACTTGTGAATGCTGGTTTAAACACTTTAAAAGTGATGATTTCGGTGTGAAAGACAACACCCAGGTCAACCAAAAAAGTTTGAAGACCAACAATTACAAGCCTTATTAGATGAAGATGCGTGTCAAACTCAAAAACAACTTGGAGAAAGATTAGATGTTGCTCAGCAAACAATTTCCGATTGTTTACAAACAATGAGAAAGCTTTTAAAGGAAGGAAAATGGGTCCCACATTAACTGAACGAAAGACAAATGGAAAACAGAAAAGTCATCAGTAAAATGCTGCTTCAGCGGCAAGAAAGAAAGTCTTTTTTGCATTGAATTGTGACCGGCAGTGAAAAGTGGATTTATTTTGTACAAAATCATGGGTTGATTCAGGTCAACCATCAGCATCGATGCAAGGCCAAATTGCTTTGGAAAGAAGACAATGCTCTGCATTTGGTGGGATCAGGAAGGTGTGGTGTATTATGAGCTTCTAAAATCAGGTGAAGCTTAATACTGATCGCTGCCGACAGCAAATAATCAATTTGAACCACGCTTTGATCATAAAACGACCAAAATGGGCCAGAACATACGGCAAAGTAATTTTGCTTCATGATGACCCACCATTACACACTTCAAAACCAGTTAAAGACACGTTAAAAGATCTTGCCTGATGTTTCTGTTGAAATTGCCATGTTTTGATTACAAAATCTGCATTATTAACCAGTACGCCTGTTCCCTTTTTTCCCCCATTGATCCTATCCAGCCTGTCCCTTGTCTGTCCGTCCCCCCAAATCCTCACCACCCCATTGTGTTCATGGGCCATGCATATATGCATACAAGTGGACAGCATATTTCTTCACAAAACTCAGATTTAAGAGTTTCTGCTTGCTAAGGAGTGGCTCACAATAGGGAGTGCTTGTCCTGTTTCAGTACTTTTGAGAACTCACCAGATCCTGATGGCAGGCATTTAACTTCTCTGATTCAGAAGATTCTGGTATAGCTGTTTCCCCAGGTTAAGAAGCAAGGAATGGCGATGCAGGACTGGCCCAGAGCTGGAGGCTTTGGGGAGCTGGGTGTGAAAGGAGGCCTGAGGTGTGGGCAGAGTACGTGCAGGGATGTGCTCATCAGATCCACCTTGGAGCTGAGTCAAGGGCCTCCTTCATCTCAGTGGATTCTGCCAACAACCTGTCTACAAGGCAAATCTATCCCCATTTTCAACAGTGGGGCTTAGGTCAGTTGCTGCAGGTCATACAAGTAGTGACACCCAGGGATAAGTCACTGAGGTGGCAATGAGGAGATATAGTGTCAGAAGGCAGGCGATGGGGGTTCCCTTGTTGCAGCTCAGGGCCATGTATTAGTCATTTTTCCTGTCTGGAATTTTGAGTTCTTGTCTGTGTTGTCCCCTTAGGACTGTAGGCAAGTGGCTCTGGGGCCGGGGTGAAGACGGCGACTAGGGTCCCGATGATGTCCAGCACTGGGCTCTGACCTCCCCTGAGGACATGGTGCCCCCTGGGATCTTTGACACCCAGGGGTCTGAGGGACCTTGGCTCTGGGGAGGGATGCATGGGGGACCATGGTTGCCCTGCACCCCACTGACTGCTTTCCCTCCCTACTCCTTTCTGCAGGTGGTTCCTCCAGGAGTCAACAGCTCCCTCATCCTTCTTGGTAAGAACAGAAGTATCTTATTAACTCCATAATCATCTTAAGTTTCTAATGTTACAAATTTTTAGTTAAAAACACCTAAATTGTGATGATGTTGCTATAATGAGAGGTGCTGAGCACCCACTCTGAGCATGCACAGTGCTCTGCACTTGTTCCTTCAGACCTCAGGAGCCCAGTGAGCTGGGTGGTTTGTTCCTGTTCCACAGCTGAGGACCTGCATGTACAGAGACTGATTTCCCCACGCCATCTCCTTTTTGAAAAGGGGAAAGGGCCTTATTTCTGCAACCTCCATGCACATTGAAGTGATGGGGGTGCTCTCTGTTTCCCTCTTCCCTGCAGCTAAGGCGGCAGAACCAAGGAGGTTGGGCTTTTGCTGTTGTTAATCCTCACCCAAGGGTATTTTTTCCTTTTTTTTTTTCTTTTTTTTTTTAGAGAGTGTAAGGTAGAGGGAGAGACACATCAATAGGCTGCCTCCCATGTGCATCCTGACCTGGACTGGGGATTGAGCTTGCAACCAAGAGTCAAATCCAGGACTGTTCAGTCCATGGGCCAACACTCTAACCACTTAGCTGAACTGGAAACTGGATAGGGCTAAAGAGGTTGGTTTTGATCCCCACTAATGCCACTTTGACCTGAGGAGTCATCTGTGACTTGCCTGCTTGGCTGCGGTGGAGGTTCCTGTGTGGGTGCTGTGGCCTGGACTTACAGCAGAGTCGCCAGGGAGCAGCCCCCAAAACTGCCAATCTACCCCTGAATCATGTGACTGCCACTGTGCAGAGATGGGACACGTAGGGGTGTGTAAGGAGGTAGATGTAGGACGGGTGAGCAACCTTTTTGTGAGTGCATGCCAAAACCAGCAAAATCTCTGACTCAAAATTCTTCTGCGTGCCAACCCTAATTTTTTGAGAACATGTTACGCCCACTTGATATCTCTTAAGGTGTACGTATGTGAAGAACCTTGAAGAAATAATAAAAGTCATTCCAGCAACAAAAACACAGTATATGATGATAAAAAATACATTTATTTTTTAATGCATACATGTACACTGCTAGTCCGACAGAAAACTTTATGACTCCGTTTGATATTATCAGTGGGACTTTTGCTGCTGCATCACTGATGACAGATTTTACATCAGGTTTATATTTCGTGACCTTCAGAGATATGCACGAGCTACTTACTACTTTCATCCGTCAGGCTACTCCTATTACGAGACTTAACAAAATTCATCACTGAGAACAAAGATTCACAAGCGTATGTGGATGAAAACATGGAGAGTAACGCTGTCGCCAAGTTTTTTAAACAGAAAAAATTTTCTGGAATGGCATTCCAAGTCCTCAATAGTTCATTTTCGACACTTCTCTCTGGTACTCCTGTCTCTAATAGATTTTTTTCAATGTTTTCCAAGTCAAATCTAAGGTCAATAAACTTCTGCTTCCAAATTGAGCTACTCTGAAATTCAATCAACTGCATTTCAAAGTCAGCCATGTCTATCCATGAAAACATTTGTAAGTTTAGTTCCTCCAGTTTCATGCTGTCTGGAAACCTCATGAATTTTGCTGTCTCTTCCAGCTCTCTGAATTTCGCAAATCTTGAGAAGAACTGCTCAATAGTTGACTCGATGATGTTTAAAAACAGCTTTTGAAGGCTCTGACAGTCTGTTCTGTCATCTTTTGGGAGGTCTTTGATGTGCCTCTTGAGGTTTGGGAAATATCTAAATCTCTCACCATTCACATCCCTCTTAAAGACTTCCAGTTTCTTTTCAAAAGCCTTTATGTAACCACATATAACATCAAGTGTCTTGCCAGTTCCTTGTAATTTAACATTTAAGTCATTCAAATGTTCACAAAAATTGTAAATGGAAGATGATTATAAGAGAGGGTTTCGAGTGTCAGCAAAAGTTATTGGCATGCCATGTTTGGCATGCGTGCCAGGGGT